GTCAACCCCTAAAGTCAATAATTGACCAATTAGCACAATGGTCCTATCACATTTTCCCAAATAATAAAATCATTTCTATTTTCCCAAATCCCTACCAAATTTTGAACTTTGCCTTTTTCACTAGAACACTCACATAATGTAAAGCTGCTCGTGTTTCTTGAATGAATCGATCCCCGAAACCCTGTAAACACGATAGTTATTTGCAAAATGATGATCCAAATAAGGGGAAACGAACCGCAGCTTACCTATGGTTCGTATCGTTACCCTTTTGTTCACTAGTTTCATATATTCCAAGGAAGATAATAGTTTGTTATGGCTAAAAAAGAAGTGTGGTCCCCATTTCGTAAAATTCATTTTCAGCCACAGAGTTCATGAAACCTACAACTTTTATCGACTTTTTAACCAAACGTTTCACCAAATTTCATCTAACCTTATTGAAAATCTAATTTTTTTTATCCACCCCAAACAGGGCCAAGTTTGCCTCAAGGCAGTTTTGCATAATAATATAACCTCCACCAAAGTGAAGATAACAGGGTGATTCTCGTGCTTGCTTGCAAAAATTCTAAATACCAAAATACATATTCATCTATATAAAAAAATGTGCACACTAATTGATATTCTTCAATAAACCTGCCTAATTCCAAATTTCTTTCAGAAGTGTTTCCCCAATTCAACTTTTTTCATCAGTCTCATGGTGTTGTGAAGCACTGAGTCCAATATTCCAGCAACCTGAAACCGCAAATATTAAAGTCCGCGCCACACAGTAATGACAAAAAACCCGAGAAGAGAAAGGAGGAGGGGGCGAGAAACCTACCGTAAAAATACCTCCAATAATGGCACAGACGTTTGTAATGAAGTGCGAAAAAGACTTTGAGTTTTCAGTTATTAAGACCTAGAACAAGAAGAAAGAGATGAAGCAAATGGAGAACGACCCTATAATGCAATCTTTAATGACGATTCAAATAAATTGGCTCAAAACCTGCATCGGAGATAGCTCAAAGTGAAATTTGGCAACTGGAATGTCAACGCTGTGAACCAGACTGCTGTGGGCAGTGTACTCATAATCCTCGACTAATTTATAGGATCTTGTCATCACCTCAGTTTTTACGACTTGAAGATAGTGCTCTATCTGCGAGTGCACACAATAGCAGATATATTACAAAATCATCGGCAAGATTTAAAAACTCAAATAGGCAAATTGGTTCATCAGCATGAAGCTCAATAATAAATAAGGTGCACGGCTGATAGACCAACAAAATTTTAACACGTCTGTTTCTATTTGAACAGTCGCTAAAAAGCTAAATTGCAAGTATACAGAAGTATACTCATTTTTTATAGACCTCGAGAAGAAGAGAGGAGGAGGGTTGGTAATGGCAATGGCAATGGCAAGGGTAGAAGCATTCTGAAACAATATAATATAAAAACGAATGGCACATGAGAGGGGAGAAACAATGTATATAAGAGACACAAAACTTACAGTAACATTTGCATTTGAATCACTTGGATTACTGATATATCGCATGCCATTCAACCGATCATGGCTTCCTCCAAGATATGGCAGCACTTGCTTCATGCCACTCATTACCCTTGGTGAGATCGTTTTACCAAAAGAAAAGTGAGAAATAACATGTGACATGTTCATCTGAGAAGCATCAAAAGAATGGGAAGCTGAACGAGCTGATATGATAAGGTTGCCAGGAACCTGCACAACACAAGACAAACTTAAGATCGTACATAAGACGAACAATTTTTGAACCATAAGTAGTTAAGAATAGAATAATGTTCCAAGGAAAGAATCATGACTATAATTTATGTAATCAGTATCTTACTACATGTACCCTTAAACCTACATCTTCCTGTTAAATAGTTAATCACAGAACAATGACAAGAGAATCAAGGACCATAATTTATGTAAACAATACCTTCTTTACACGTACAAAACCCTCAATTCTACATCCTCCTGTTAAAGGTGCAGGCCTCTTGGCATCATCTGTCATCTTGGATGGCTGACTATCTGAAGCACTTTGTGACTGCAAAGAAATAGGAGCTACCATATCCTCCATTGTCTGAAAGGATCAAAACCAATTATTTGACAGATAATCATGGTACCATATGCCATCCAGCAATTTCAGCAAAAA